AAAAAAAAAAAAAGACTCCAGCCTCAGAAACCCAGTGGAGGCTTACCATGAGTTAGAATCAAATGGATAGCAGTCGGTTTTGGGCCTCTACAAAGCTACTACTGATTGATTCTTCAGCTCGGTGTTTCTCTGCTAATGCCTTTCTCTAACATCCAAATGAATGAATCTCTTTCATAGCAATTATTTTTTTATAAGCACACAGCTGCAAGCCTCTCAATCTCTTTCTGAGGTTGGCAAAGGATTGACCAGGGTTTCATTCACAGGATGCCTGGGAGCTGACGTGAATTTATCTAGCATAAATACACATATCCCAAACAGAAAGTGTGTGTGTGTGTGTGTGTGTAAGCACAGTTTTGTCTACACTCCACTGGTTAATCCTGAAGGCATAGCACAGTACCTGGAGCACCTAAAAACTCAAAACTCACTGCTGTTAAGTCATAACTGACAAAAAAAGCTCACCCTCCAGCAGGTTTCCAGAGGCTGTGTACAGCACAGAAGGAGATAGCCCATTTTTTTTTTCCGTGGAGCAGCTGGTGGATCCCAACATGTGCCCTGGCAGGCCAACTCCTCATCCACTAGGCAATCAGAGCCAGACATAATACTGCTGCGCAAATGACAATTTCCTTCATTATTCTTTGAATGTGTTTACCCTCTTAAAAACAAAAATAACCGAAACAAAACTAACCAATTTCAACACTGCCAAAGTCTGACAACAAAGTGTCCTTACAACATTCCACCCATTTCAATTATTCATTCTTGTTTCAGTCACCACCTGGCATCAATTACTAAAACCCAAAGATTAATTCTTTCATTAGGTTAGTCAACAGTTGAATGGTTCTCATATGTGAAAAACATGAGGCAACTGCCTGGTACTAGGCTGCAGTGGTGAGGGGTGCCATTCGTATACAAATCCCTCCTTTAGTTCAGTCCTTTTCTTCACAACCGGTCTCTCTGCATAGTCCACTTTCTGTGAAGCAACAAGAACGGAAACAAAACCACTATAATCCTAAATTACTCCCATGTTCCCACTTTAGATATTTTTAAGTGAAATACCGAGGATTGATAATTAAGTTGTGACTTGAGGCATTAAACAATAACTACTTAAAATCTGTGCAGCTATTATAACTAAAACCCTAAAGTATACGTAATTTACGATAAAACTAGGGTTCAAGGGGTTAAAAACTTGCTAAATCATCAAAACTTTCATCCACTAGAGAATTCTGAATGTTATTTCAGAAACTGCAGTTGCCCTCTTATCTTCCCTCCCCTTGCAAAAAAGAAACTAGAAAAATCACATAATTGAAGAAACAACTTTTCACGTGCTGTTTTAAAACATTAACTCTCAATATTCTGAAAAACCAGAAATTCTGCACTATAGTACTAATCGGATATTCTCTGTGGTGCACAACGCGCAAACCGGCACTAAGTTCCACAAGTTATAGCCACACTTCTGGACCCGGGTGACTACAGAGTCCCTGCGCCGAGAAAGGCGCTCAAGGGGCGTCTGCACCACGGTCAGCGCCCTCGCGCCCCGCTGCCACCTACGAGGGGAGCCCATGCAGGCCCCGCTGGCGAGCCCCTCATGATGTTGCCCTGTGGCACCCCGTCAGATACCTTTCCGCCGGAAGAAGGACATGGCGGGGCCCGGATCTGGTCGGAGGGCCCGGGGGGACTGTCGTGGGGAGGGACTGGCTCCCCTCATTCAGGAACAGCCCCAGACTTCCAGGTCTGAAGCAGCCGTGACACTAACTAGAAAAAAACACCCTTTCTCCGGGTGTGGGCCCCACCACCTCCAGGAGAAGGCCGGTCATAGCCTACCGCCATACTATCAACAAGCCGCCCTCCCAGAATTCCAAGCCTTCACCGCGCGGGGCTTCACGGGAGACCAAAAGGCTGGCCCTGCCCACGACTCCCTGGGCTGCGGAAGCACAGTGTGCGCCCACGTGACCGTGTGGGCGTTCAGTGTACGGCTCTCTCCCTGCAAGCAGTTCCCCTCCCTATCTCGGTAAACCACTCGGAGCTGCAGACTCAATGAATTCACGTTCCTCTATCACCTCCTTGGTGCTTCGGAGCAACTCTCTGACCCCAGAACATATCTAAAGAAAAGCCAGAACTCCACGCTTTGCTTATTCCCCTACCTTTTGCGATTTGAAGTTAGCCCTTCGCCGGCATTACTTGGTTTCATCCTACAACCTGCATCCACATCCATCCCCCTGCTTTCCTAGGCTGGTTAGAACCCCAATAGAGAGTTGATTATTGTTGTTAGGTAGCCTCAGGTGGGCTATGACGGTATTAACAGGTCTTATCCTGGGCCCAACCTCACAGTCTTCCGATACTTAAGCCCACTATATATATAAAGCCATCTCCTCGAGGGCGTTCCTCTGAATCTTTCTCAGCATAATGTCTTTTTCTAAGGCCCTTCCTGATAACAAGTGTGAGATGAAGTTTCATCATCGTTACTGAAAGGATCAAATTCACTAGAATCCAGTATACACTATACAATAGACAATATACACTAGCCAAGTGTATACTAAACATGCTTTATTTAAGATTGTTGGCTTTGGTGAAAGCAGGTGGCATTGACAAACAATTGGCTGGTTGTGGGTAGTCACAGTAGTTTCAAAGACCTGGGAACATTTTCCATTCCCCCCCCCCGCAACACTCCTGTTTTAACTGTCAGCTATCTTTTGAGCTAGGTCATAGAACCGTGTGTGTTGCTACTGTGTACCATAGAGGCAGAACCAACCCATAGCTGAATTTATGGTGGGTTTTCAGAGGCGGTTAATCCCAGGGGAGGAGATTGCCCATATTTTGAGGGACTCCATTTTGTAATCAATACGTCATTTTAAAATGTATAAGCCTCTAGAGCAGTAAACTGAAAGCGGTGGGGGAAGGGGGAAAAGAGCCCTCACCCAAACATCAGCCAATCCTGTATCACCCTGTTTTCGCACCCTTCCTTTGAACCAGCCAATCCTGTATCGCCCTGTTTTCATGGGCTTTCCCCTTTAAATAGGCAGGAGATCCCAGAATCAGGGCCACGCCATTTTCCCTGCTGTATCAGCACGGTTTAAGCGAGGCCCGGATTCGAATCTGAAATAAATTCCCTCTTGCCCTTGCATCAGTGTCGGCTCCTTGGTGACTTGGGGGGAAACTGGATTTGGGGCACAACAATTTCTCCTGTGGAGCAGCTGGTGGCCTGGAACAGCATGCCTTCAGGATTGCAGTTCAGCTTCTTTCATTTCTCATATTATTTACTGTATTTCCTGTAACACAGAGACAGACGTATTCCCGTAGGGTTAGTGAAACAGAATTACTTTGCTTTCAACCTTTAAGCCTTCAATATGGATTGCATCTTAACATCAAGAAAATAAAGATCCTCTCCACCGGAGTAATAGGCAGCATCATGATAGATGGAGAAAGGATTGAAATTGTTAATTATTTCATCTTCTTTTAAATTTTTTTTAAAATTAATTTTTGGACATTTTCTTCTCCCCTCATCCCTGTACCCCTCAATGCACTTTTGTTCCAGATTGCTCTTATACATATAATTCATAAGCTCCATCTCACATACTTCGGGCATGTGGCCAGGAGAGACCCATCCTTGGAGAAGAGACATCATGCTAGGCGGGGTGGAGGGACAGTGCAGAATAGGAAGATCCCGGATGAGAAGAATTGATACAGTAACTGGAGCGATGGGAATTCGGGTATTGGAATTAGACTGGCTCAGGACAGGGCAGGCTTCAGAGCTGATGTACATTGGGTCACTGTGAGTCAACCCTATGGCACATAACAACAATAACAATGTATTTCTTTCAGAGAGTTCTTCCCCTCATCTGGTCTAATGCAGTCTATCCACTCTATGCCCATTCCCTCCCTAACCCCCCTGCATGTCTGTCCTATCTTATAATAGCGGTGTTGTTCAGTATTTGTCCTTTTTCTAACTGAAATATCTCTTAGTATACATGTGTGTAATGTTTTACTATTTCATTGTTTTCAATGCTGCATAGTTTTCCATTTATGTGAATATACCATAGTTTTTCTATCCATTAATTTGTTGATGAGCACTTGGGTTGCTTCCATCTCTTCACTATTTTGAATAATGAGGCTCAATGTCAAGAAGACAAAAATTCTCACCACCGGACCAATTGGTAGCATCAGGATGGATGGAGAAGAGATTGAGATTGTTCACAGCTTCAGTTTGCTCGGCTCTACAGTCAACACTCTTGGCACCAGTAGCCAGGAAATCAAAAAACGTATTGTGATGGAAAAGTCTGTGGTTAGGGACCTCTCTAAAGTACTCAAGAGCAACGGTGTCTCTCTGGAGACTAAGGTGCACCTGATACAGGCCATGGTTTTTGCAATCACTTGTTATGCATCAGAGAGTTGGACAATGACTAGGGAGGATAGAAGGAGAATTGACGCCTTTGAGCTGTGGTGCTGGAGAAGAGTGTTGAATGTACCATGGACTGCCAAGGAAACAAACAGATTCATCGTAGAGAGGATTAAACCAGGCTGTTCCTTGGAGGCAAGGATTCTGGGGCTTCGTCTGGCATACTTTGGACATGTTGTAAGGAGAGACAGGTCTTTAGAGAGGGACATCATGCTGGGTAGAGTAGAGGGACAGTGCAGGAGGGGAAGACCCTCTATGAGGTGGATTGATTCAGTGACTGGGGTAATCGGGATGGGTGTGTCAGAGGCAATGAGATTGGCATGGGATAGAGCACAGTTTAGGGCTGTTGTACATATGTCGCAAACGACTCGATGGCACATAACAACAACAACAACAATCATAAACGTGGTGCACATACATCTATTTGAGTAGTGGCTCTGGTTTCTTTAGGGTGTATCCCAGTGGTGGAATTTCTGAGTCAAATGGTATTTCTATTTCCATCTTTTTGAGAAAGTGCCAGACTGCCTTCCATTGCCACTGTACCATTTTACATTCTCACCAACAGTGAATCAGAGTTCCAGTCTCTCCACAACCTCTAGGACATTTGTTGTTTGCTGCCCTCTTGAGCTTTGCTATTGAGATGATATCTCATAGTTGTTTTGATTTACATCTCTCTGACAGCTAGGGATGTTGAACATTTCTTCATGTGTTTGTTTGCCATCTCGAATGTTTTCTTTGGTGAAGTGTCTATTCATATCCTGTGCCCAATTTGTGATTGGGTTTTTATCTTTTTCTTGTTAAAGTGCTAGAGTATTCCATAAATTTTATCAGATATGTCATTTTTCCCTGTCTGTGAGTTTCCTTCTTAGCCTATTGGAGTTTTTTGATGTGCATAGGGATTTGATTCTTAGACGTTCCCATTCATATTTTATTCTCTCCTGGTAGAAAGTTTTTCATTATGTTTGGAAAATTGTTCATTCTGTGGATCACGGCGTCTCTAGTTCTTCCTAGGTTTTCTTTAATTAATTTTATAGTCTTTGGTTTTACTTATACGTCCCTAATCCTCAGTTGAATTTTATATAAGGTGTGAGATGTGGGTCTTTCTTAAGTTTTCTGCATAAGGTTTTTCAATTTTACTGTCACCATTTGTTAAAGAGACTGTCCTTTCCTGACTTAACTGATTCTGTCTCCTTGTCAAACATTAGTTGACCATAGGTGGATGAGCTGACTTTTGGGTTCTCAGTTCTATCGCATTGATCTATGTGTCTATTTTTGTACCTGTACCATATTGTCTTGACTACCACAGCTCTGTAGTAGGATTTAAGATTATGGAGTATGATGCCACTTACCTTGTTTTTCTTTTTCAGTAGAGTTTTTCTAATTTGGGGTATATTACCATTCTAGATAAAGTTGGAAATTGTCTTTTCCATCTCATTGAAGAATGGAATTGGTATTTGAGATTGAATTGAATTTGTAGATTGCCTTTGGTAGAATTGTAATTTTCTCAGTAAGTCTTCCTAAAATGATTTTATCTTGCTTGAATCTACAATCAACACTCTTGGCACCAGAAGTCAGGAAATCAAACGTCATGTTGTATTGTGAAAAATCTGCTGTCAAGGACCTTTCCAGAGTGCTAAAGAGCAACGATGTCAGTTTAGAAACTGAGGTGCACCTAATCCAGGCCACAGTCTTCTCAATTGCTTGCTATGTATCTGAGATCTGGATAATAAAAAAGAATGACAGAAGAATTGATGCCTTTAGGTTGTAGTGCTACGGAAGAGTATTGAATATACCTTGGACTGCTAAGAGAACAGGCTTGTCCTAGAGAGAGTGAAACTAGGCTGCTTCTTGGAGGCAAGGATTTTTAAACTTCATCTCACTTGCTGTGGGCATGTCTTCAGGAGGGACCAATATTTGAAGAAGGACATCATGCTTGGAAGGGTGGAGGGTCAGTGCAGGAGAGGAAGGCCCTAGATGAGGTGAATTAACACAGTGACTGTGACAATGGGGGCAGGTGTGTCAGGTTGACTCGGGATAGAGCAAGTTTCAGAGCCATTGTTTGTTCATAGTGTTGCTATGAGTTGCAGTCAACTCAGTGGCACATAACAACATCAATGATGTTATTTTTTTTTTTAAAGTCTAAATCCTGGAGTCAGAGCCAGGCTATAAATCACAAAGATTTCCCAACTTTCTTTTGCTAAGTAACTGGTGGATTTGAACATTTTGCTTTTGAGTTGATAGTGCAACTCCTTACCCACTAGGCCACCAGAGCTCCCTGATGTTAACTACCCTCCAGTTGGAACTGACTCATA